CTATAATCTTCAAATCTCTTTGGGTTGTCAGTTTTAGGGATGAGGGTCAAAAAGGTGCTTCCATAGGCTCTTGGAATAGGTTGCCCCATGAAGAATTCTTGTGAGGCAGTGAGAACATCCTGTTTGATAGTTTCCCAGGTTGCTTTGAAGAAGTTTCCATTGAATCCATCAGGTCCACTTGCACTATTGCCATCTAAATCCTAAACAGCCTGTTTAACTTCATCCAGGGAGGGGATGGTACAGATTCTAAGGTTATCTTCTGAGGATATGATCATGGGGATGAGAGGAAGGATTGGTTCAAAGGAGGGTGGTTGGGACTGCTTGAAGCTGTTTTCAAAGAAGGAGATGGCTTCTGTCTTGATCTCTAAGGGGTTGCTAGTGCCTGCTCCATTTGGTTTAATAATATGAGATATAGAGAGTTTCTTTTTCTTTCCTTTAACATATGCCTGAAAGAGTTTGGAGTTAGAGTCTCCCTTTTCCAGCCATCTGATGTTTGCCTTTTGCTTCCAATATTGGACCTCCAGATTTGTGGAATAAATCAAGGCTGCATTGGCTTTCTGCATTATTTCTATATTTTCTTGTGAAGGATTAATCTCAAACTCCTTTTCCGCTTCCAAGGCTTTATCTTCTGCTTGTTGAAGTTGGGAGAAAATGTCTCCAAAAGTTTCCTTGTTCCAGGTTTTGAGGGCTGCTTTGAGGCTAGAGAGTTTATTTGCCAAACCTCTCATTCCTTCTATGGTGGGCAGATTATCCCAAGTCTTTTGAACCATGGAATGGAAGGTGTCGTGCAGGGTCCAGGCATTAAGGAATCTAAAAGGCCTTGGTCCAGTAGGAGTGGTCTTACTACAGTGTACCAAAAGGGGTTTATGATCTGAGTTGAATTTGGACAGGTGCTTTAGGGAGACTTCATCATAATAAGCTAGAAGACAAAGATTAGTTAGGATTCTATCTAGTCTCCTCAAGGTCCTTCCTTGGCTTCTAGTCCTAGACCAAGTGAACAAACCACCTTTTGGTTCCAGAGTGATCAAGTTACAGTTTGAGATGCATTCTGAAAAATCTTCCATACCTTGAGTGCTTGGGATGCATTTTCCTTTGAATTCAGTAAGGGATGCAATGGTGTTGAAGTCTCCCCCAATAATCCATTGGTGGTTGAGCTTGCTGTAATTCTGAAGATTGCTCCAAAGTTCTCTCCTATCAGCTATAGAGTGGGCACCATAAACTGAGGATATAATGATAGACGAGTTGGTGGCTGTGTGGGTGAAATGGCAGTGAGTGATTTGGTTTTCATCATGGTAAGAGGAAAGGATAAGGTGTTCATTGCTCTAGAAAATCCATCTCTTATTATTAGAGGAGCAAATAGCATTTGAAAAGCCAAGATGTAGTCTGAAACTGTCAAGTTGGCTGTTGGAGGGAATGGGTTCAATGACACAAAGGAACTGAAGACTATGTTTCCTCTTGAGGAATATGAGCCTGCTGAGGGAGGAACTAACCCCACAGGCATTCCAAAAAATGAGCTTCATAAGGGATAGTTAGGGGGGTACAACCTTCCTAGTTTTGCTCCTGGTTGCATAACCAGTGAGACCAGGTGAGGGTTTAACAAACCATGATTTCTGTAAAGGCATTGAGACTTTGGTGCACCGAGATAAGTCCATCTCCAAAGGAGCAATAGGGGATTGCTGAGGAGTGGGTTGGTCTCCCTCGGAGTGGTAGCACAAAGGTGTGATGGTTTCATGATCCTCATTGTCAAAGTCCTCAGGCTCCCAAGAAGGATCAGAAATAAAGGGTAAGAAAGAGTCATCTTGACTCCCTGAAAGAGGTTGGTTGGAAAGAGGAGGGATGTAGGGAATTATCTCTTGGCAGGAGTTAAGATTATAAGGATAAAGAAAAGAGAGATCTGGGGGGAAGGGAGGGGGTGGCAATGGGGGGGTTTGGGTTTGCAATGGTGAAGGTGGTAGGGCCCAGCACTTGGGGAGAGGTGATTCATCATCCGAGGTGTCTTCCACAATGGGAGGGAGTAGGGGCGTACAAGGCTGGGGAAAAGGTTGGGGACAAGCTGCCAAAGAGGAAGTGGAAGTCCCAGGGGTACCAGGGTTCTTGGAATGTAGCTGTTGGTGAGAAATAATAATGGAATGTTGGGAAGGGAGCTTACTGCAGGGAGGGGGCTTTGGAGACACAGCNNNNGGGGACACGCTGCCCAAGAGGAAGTGGAAGTCCCAGGGGTACCAGGGTTCTTGGAATGTAGCTGTTGGTGAGAAATAATAATGGAATGTTGGGAAGGGAGCTTACTGCAGGGAGGGGGCTTTGGAGACACAGCGAGGCCGGGTTTTGGACGTTTCCTGGTGACCATTTTCCATTCTTGAATCTGTGGAATTGAACTCCCCGCTCCTCGATGGCCCACCACCACCACCGGACCTTTCCTCCGGCAATGGGAAAGGAGATGCCCAAATCTATTACACTGTTAGCAGTAGGGGGGGTGTTCTTCATACGTGCAAGGGAGCCACAAATCTTTAGAGCCAAGTCTGACATGGATCTTAGGGGGTTTGGAAAGTGAGACATCCATCTCCACACAAACCTTGGCTGTGCCCGGGTAGATACCCATGGCAGTTTTAGCTCCCAACTTAATTGGTTTACCCAGGGCTGAGGCTATAGAGAAGAGAGATTTGTGATCTAAAAGATGTAAAGGAATATTTCTAACCTCTACCCATAATGGGATAACAGGACAGTCCGAGCAGTGAGAGTGATTGGGAGTCCATTTGCATAGCGTGATAGTTGATGATTTTATCTTCCAGCTTCTCTTGTGAAGCCAACGAAGATAGTCTTCTTCCCTCTTGAAGATGAAGAGTATCTCTTGAGTTTTTAGCCTCCTTAGCTTGAATTCCTTAAACCCCCCGTTTATTAGGAAATCTTCAATGTCACGCATGTAGATTTTTGAGCTACACCTTCCAATTACTGCTCTGCTGAAATTTCCGACAAGATTCTCTTCTTCTTCCACCGTGAATTGCACTGAGGGGGCTGTATGGTACATGCCGCATAGTTTTCCTGGGGTCTTAACTCTATCCCCTTTGAACAGATCAGAGAAAAGGGTTTTTCCACTAATATTGTGATGGCTAGAGATGGCCGCCGGCGGTGTGCCGGTCGCCGGAAAGCTAGAGAGAGAAACAGCCGCCATATATATATATATATATATATATATATATATATATATATATATATATATATATATATATATATATATATATATATATATATATATATATATATATATATATATATATATATATATATATATATATATATATATATATATATATATATATATATATATATATATATATATATATATATATATATATATATCGAGATGAATTTTAGAGAGAAGGGAGACATCGGCGAATATGGCCACCGACGGCGATTTTACTCATATTCCGACCGAAGACTATCGTTTCTACACAAATTTCCATCCCATTTCCATCGGAGACAGTGGGATGATGAGATCAACAATGGTCGGCGGCCTAAATACCCTAATTTTGGTCGGCTTTGGACTTACAGATCTGGTAACAGGAGATTTTCACTTAGAGAAGAAAGGCAGAATCAGGCATCCCGACAATAAATTTGGTGGTGAGCACAAGCGGAAGTGGCCTTTTAGATCCCCAGAAACCCTGAACTTGCAGAATTCATACGTCTACAGCAGCTCATATTTTGTTGGTAAAACTACTTCATCCATCTCTTTCCCGAGTAGAAACTATAGATTCAAGTTTCACATTCAATACAATGCATATGAACTCTTCTACTCTTTCTACAATCACAATATCTGCATAACTGGCCAAGGAAGGAAAAACTTCCACATTTGGTTCGATTTGGACTCTGTACATTGGCTGGTAGAATCTATTTCCAGGCTATCAAGTACTAAAACAAGAGGTTTGTATAAATTTGATGATAATAGAGCTCTCGAAATATGTCTAGAATCAAATAGAAGAGGGGAATTCATTCGTATTTTTGAGGATCGAAAGGAAGGTATTTCATTTTTATTGGTGCCGTATGGGGATAAATGTGATGGATTTAAGCTGTTTTCCAAGGCCTTGAACTCTTTCCTTGATAAGATCTCTCACACTCTTAAAGGGAATGCCACTCATAGTGAGGAGAACCCTCAACTCCCATGCATTCAGATTGCCTCTTCTTCCCCAAAGACGGGTGAACCTATAAAAACCTCATCCAGTGTCTCTCCTGAAGTGGAAGTCTCGGATTTAAAGGTGGATGAGGTAATATTTGCCTCTACACCTCTCTTGGAATTGGGTTCACCATCTCAACAACTTCACTCGAGCACAGAGGATAAGTGTGTAGGCATAGGAAGGTCGGAGGACTTCTCTACAGCTCCTTTGAGAGAAACCACACCGGCAGACAAACAGATGACTATTTTTGAGGGAGAAGAACGACCAAAGATCATCATTTCAGACTCATACACTGCTTCATTTCCACCACTGCCAAGAAGGAACTTATCACCTTTTGCCCCTGCATTTGTCCTGCTTTCAAACAACTCATTTGTTGCGCTGCTCAACCAAGATCAAGGATACCTTGAGGAAGAGGACCCTTTTTCAAATTTTCATGAACGGAGCCTAGTTCTATACCCTAATGCAGTGGAAGACCATGAAAAGGAGAGGGATGGACCCACTCTTTACACCCATTCAGAGGGGGAGGATTATGTGTTCATTGATTCCAAGCTTAAGCCGCTTCAAATAGACCCTTCAAGATGTCCCAAGCACCCCTTTCATCTCCGTAAGGCACTAAAGGGCAGAAGGACATACTCTCCATCTCAAGTGGTTACTAGAAGTAAGGCTAAATTACTCGAAGAAGGGAGAAGAAAAACTCCAATTGGCTGGGAAGAGGAAGAGGAAATGCACGATCCACAGGAATCCCATGAAGACGAGATCATCAAATACTTCAAGCTATGTTGTCCTAATAAAAAAGTTGATCCTAAACCTCCAACTAAAACATTGAGCAAAAGTCAGAAAAAGAAGTTAAAGAAGAAAAAGAATAAGCGGCAGGTAACTGATGCTTATGAGGATGAGAACATTGATCTAGACTATGCCTATTGAGTAATGTTTTCTGTGCACCCATGTTAGATTTTAGATCTGGTCCTGCTGGGTTAGCGCTAAGATGGAGTACTTCCTTCTGCTCATGAGGGACAATGGACTTGGGACAACTGACTTTTGTTTTGTTACAGGGGTCATTTTCTGTTCTCTTGCGTTACGTTATGTTTTTTTATTAGGATTCATCTTGCAGTCTTGCAGGGACTATTTGGTCTTCACTCTTGAATTTCCACTTTGAGACCATAATCCTCAAGGGACACTTTTGCATAGTACTCTTCCCAAACTGCTAGGAGTAACTTTACCCACATCAGCATTGGCTGGAAGGACCCACGCTGGAATCTCTGCTACCTTATATTTGAGCTCATTGACCTAGATTTGGGAGCAGTGGCACGAGGACTTACAGGTTTACCTCCATATTTGATGATGATTTATTTCCATGCCTATGTCTTTTGCTTAACTGCTTAAGCCAGCGTGAATGGTCCACTACTACTTTAACATTCTCAGCTTGGAACAAGAATGCATAATTTTGATTCCCTGCAGCAGCTCTAATGAGGTCCACCACTTTAGGATGAGCTGTCTGAATTACATTAGCTTGAGTGATGGCAGACACAAGATAAGAGCATTTTTCCAGGCATACCGTGACAATAAGGGACTAAACAAAGCATTGGGGCCTAGTTTAGTTGTTGCTATTTGTTGGACTTTTTTCAATATTTGGACTGTTAGAGTTATCAGGCCTTGTTGGGGTCCGGCCAACCCCCTCCTTTGTATTTTCTTCTCTTTCAATAAATTTATATTTAAATAATATATATATATATATATATATATATATATATATATA